TATCAACCATCCCATAGGTTCAACCGAGAGCCGCTCCGATTTTCTCCAAAGCGCGAGGCATCAAACGTAATATTGTAGTAACAAGAAGCTAGTAGTAACAAGTGCATCGCTAGTATTAACAAGTGACAAGTGCCTTACTAGTAGTAACAAGAAGCTAGTAGTAACAAGCTTACTAGGATTTCCGGTCCGTCAGTCCGCCGGCAAAAAGGAGCCGTTTCAATGTGGTTCTCTCGAGAGTCTCGCACATCAGAAGAGCCTTGCTGAAGAGCCATGGTCATATAGTAGCGAACATTGTTACTACTAGTAAGGCACCTGTTACTACTAGCGTGGCACTTGTTCCTAGTAGCTTCTTGTTACTACTAGCGTGGCACTTGTTACTACTAGCGTGGCACTTGTTACTACTAGCGTGGCACTTGATTCATGATTGGTCATGTCGTCATCCACCACTCGTCTTCCGTGTTTTCCCGACGCATCGCCCCAAAGGTTCGTGTTGCCAGTGGTCCGTTCTCGTCTTGTTGTCCTTCCTGGCTGAAGGAAGGGAGATGGGCGGTTCCTCTGCTACAAAAAGCACTGAGGTTTGTTTCGATCCTGAAGAAGACGCTTGAAAGGAGACGGTCTTTGAAGGAAAGAGCCTTGGCCGCCCCAGCGTTAGCTCACTGGGGCTGAAGCTGGAAGATTCCCATCCCTTCCATCATAGTTAGGATTCGGAAATTAACGGCCCAAATCCCTGCAAGTGAAAGTCTTTGGTCTGAAGAACATGAGCAGCTTCTTGCAGCCATTGAGCATGTGATTTTGATTGATCTTTTGTCAGGTTTGAAGCTTCTACCCAAAGCCTTGAACTTTACAGTTTGCAAAGGCTGGGTGGATCGTGGTGGATCGTGGCTGGGTGCATTTTGCCTGACCTGGTCAGAACAGCCCGTGCCATCTTGTTCTTCGGCCGGGCGCGACATGTTCGAATATGTTCGAATCAGCGTTGGTCAGCAACATCAGACTTGAATCTGTTTGACCTGGTTGTGTTTATGGTTTCCTGCGGCATTGACATACCATGACATACTGATTGTATATACAAGTATAAGTATATGCCTAGACCTCACCCTGTGCCCTAAGATGGCGGTTCCTTCATGTGCATGACTGCTGATTGATGCAAAAGATCCTTCCTGCTCGAAAATGGAATGTTGAAGATCACCAATGAACAAAGATGTACATACAGACGGCCATGCAACAATCTGATGGCCGTGCATTGAACGATTTTTGCGCGTTCGTGCTTGACAAAGTCTGCCTTCGTTTGTTCCATGTCATCTCCTGAAAAACGGTTCCTTTATGTTCCTTTGAGATTCTTATGGTGACACATGTGCCTTTAACCACAACGGATTGGAGCATTTACAGAAGGTTGGATCCAGAACTCCAGGTTGAAAGCTGTGGAGCAACGATGCTGACTGCAGAGCGAACTTACGAGAAACCGGAACCCTAGTGGGCCTAGAACCAAACCAACGCATATCAAAGCTACCAGGTACCATAGATGCCATAGATCACACCAGGTTGTTGCTGGAGTTCCAGCATTGACTGAGTGTACCAGATCATAGAAAGAAAAGGATGTTACACCAGAAAGTTTCTGCCATGTCGCAGTTGATATTTTGCGGCATTTACACTGTTTTTCACGTGCATAATCGCAATAATTGATGTTCTGCAGTTTGGACCATGCAAGGCGCTTCTATATCTACAATGTTTGCCTGCTGTTCACGAATGATCCTGTTGGTCGGAGTGAATGTGCATGGAGATATCGCATTTCGGATGTCGATGTGCGTTCCTACCTTCATTCCCGTTAATATACACTGACATAGTCTTAGTAGTGGCTTAATCTGGCTGATCAAGCATGTTTTCTTTTATAAGTTGACTTGGCAGACATGTATGTCGCCATCACAAAGGGCAAAACTACGGGTAAGCTGAGCAATTATATATTGATCCGTATCGTATGGCAGCTTACATGAGAAGCAACAACTATGGACTGATTGGGGGTCTGATTGTGTTTGGTACATTTGCTGGGTTGCTCAGCCAAAAGGTCTCCTTTTTGATCTATATAACATCAAAGGTTCCTATGAACACTTCAACAGAAAGGCATAGTAACACATAGATGTTCAACAACTATATATATATAATAGATACTTAGGACACTGTAGATTCCAGACAACAATGGCGCATACCTCTATACTTTAGGTGAACGGACCATATTTTTTGTGGTTTGGATTCCAAACGAGCCGGAACATGGCCTATCTGTGCACTGTTCACTAAATGTGAGGCTATATGTTTACATTTTACATTGTAACAAATGCATTCTGAATCTCTGAAGACAGCGGTTCCGTTTTTAAAACATGGTTTTGATTTTCTTCCGTGTCTCCTCTGGTCCTTGGACCTGGGGTGAACAGAAGTGAAGGCCCCCTTCAGCGCCGGCGGAAAGAATACCTGGAGACCTTCCTCGAAGGCGGGTGGTTCATCACCCTCTTTCGGTATCCTTAACGCCACCCATGAATTGGAGGGCGTTCGTTGCGCTGCGTTGCTTTTGGTGGGGGCTCTCTCCAAGGTGTGGTCTGAGGTTTTTACACCTGATCACCCGGACGGTTGCCACGGTGAGCTTGCGGCTCAAGATGAAACGTTTCTGTGCCCACCAACCGTTTTGTTGTTCTTGTCCCACCAACCGTTTTGGCTTCTCCTCCAGGCCAATTGGCGATTGTTCAAAGCACCCTGGAACAGATGCAGGTGCATGGAGGGCACGGGTACTGGTGTACGATGGACTGACAAAGTCACACTTAGTATATCCTGATGATGAACACTTTTTGGCACCCACCGTGTTTTCTTTGTTGCTTTCTTGACGAAGTCCTGGTTAATCCACAACACAAAGCTCCATAGCATGATTGTCACCACAAAAGCATGTTGAACAGTTGCATTTTGAACGACATGCACATGGCTCTTGGGAGGATGCAGATGCGGCGGATGGGGCGGAGGCCGTGCGGACCCAAGGAAAAATGGTGGTGGAACCAATGACAAATGATTGATCAAGAGTGAGGAGGGATGCTTAGTGCGTAATGGTATTTGGGCTGCCTCAAAATGATTCATTTGTTGATTTTGCCAAAATCTGGTCAAGGTTCCTTTGGTTGGAGACTTTGAAATTTGCTGCAACGCTTCTCCCGCTCGAGTCAGTCTCTAAAATCAATTTGAGGACGAAGCCGGAGAGGATCAGCAAGAGGATGTGGAAGAAGAAGACGAGCAGGAGGACTGGACATTTGAAGACGTTTTAGCGATTCCTTTTCAAGAAGCGCGGGACAAATAACGATCAAATTGGGAAGTTGAGAGAGACAGTACTCACAGGTACATACAAAGGTACATAGAAGACATTAAGTATCTCTTGGCCACTGCAGACCAAGTGATAAATGATAAACACTATGTAGATCTGCTTCAATTTATCAGCAGACATTCCCGCTCATGGCAAACATCCCCACATCGCAGGTGATCCGCCCTCGAAAACGCCGACGACGACGCTGAAAAGGGAGCGCAGCGGAAGCAGACAGTTCAAGAGTTTCAACACCCTTCACATGAGAATGGCTGACAAATACGATCCACCACGAGCAAGCCATCGCATTGAACAATCAACACCTGCCTTTTTCATCCCTTTTTTCCCAATCAATTTTTGTTTGTGTGAACTGTGAACCATCGCATCTTGCGAGTAGGACCTGCAGGACCCCCTGCAAACTCCCACCAACCTCGGACACGATGCTCGATGCTTCCAAGTGAGTGGCGTACCGTACATCCTGTTTGTTGTCCCTCCATTGTACTGTAAGGAGGTCGCAAAGGTGAAAGACCATATAGTGACCTCAAAAACGTTGGCCCAGGGCCGAAAGATTAGACACTTTCCAGGTCAAAAAGCCGCAGCAAAAGGATACCCCGACAGCCTTTGTGCTCCATGGTTGAAGTCTACAGCCTTTGACGGATGTCATGGGACCACTGACAGCAGGTCCATCGTGACAGTGGGCAGCGCTTTGCGCAGATCGAGCAGAATCTCAAGTCGATGACGGACAGAGTGTTCATCCGAGAGTGCGTGGTGTTCGGATGTTCCCCATCTTGGGCCCGGGCAGCGGCGGGATGGATCGGAGGGGCGACTCTGGCACTCAGCATCTCCCATAAAATAACCTTGATCGAAAGGATGGGAAGGGGCTTTCCCGCGGATTTCGACGCAACCAACCAGACTTGTCGTTCTTTTGATTCTCAGGAGGATTACAATCGCGGCACCGCGGAGGTTCGCACCCAGATGCGACAGCCCCCTGGCAGTTGTGCCGTGGTGGCCGGAGGTGGCGCTAGAAATGCCAAGTCTGAAATAAGCCAATCTGGTTCAAGCATTGCGAACGGGGACACTGTATATGACTAGTTGGCGCTGAAATTAATTAGATCTTCCCCATCCCATGCTGATCCTTTTTGGTCATCAACATGCTTGATTGTGGGCGGAAGGCAGCTTCATGCAGCTTCACACTCTTGAACCAGGGTGTGAACAAGTGAATAACCGGGATACGCCTTGAGTGCTCCAGATCGAAATGGCACGTGTGCTGTGAGATGACCTCAGGGTTCACAGTTACCAGCTCACCAAGTCTTTGTTCAGGAAGAATCCTTATAGGTTTGGACAAGATCTATGCTTCGGGTCGATTTCTTGGTTTGGAATGGAAAGGGAGTTGGGCGGCCCCCCATGACCATCCCGGAACTCACCTGTACTCACACCCTCCAAAAAAGGGTCATTCAATTTGTAACCCCCCCAATGTCAGAACAACGCGACCGTCCATCGCGCTCGACCACTTCTTCTTGTTCGGCTCCCAGCCACTGACAGACTCCGTGAGACTCGGAGCTCAGGCGAGTCGTAGCTGGAAAGCTGGACAGGATGTGGAACGGACACTTGGACAAGACTTGGCACCCAAAGAGCAACTTCCAAACTGGACTCAGATCCATTGAGAAGCGTTTCCCTCGAAAGCGTGGCAAGCAACCACCTGCATTCGCCATGGCGGACTCCGAGATTCCGAGCAGCAGCTCCTCTCCCTCGATGGTGCGGCACGAAAGTGACGGAGAGCGCTTGGAGCGATGCGGTCTTTTTCTACGGTCTTGTCGGTCTTGTCTTAAGAAATCTGGTGGTGAATTTCTGGAACCTGTTGGCTCACAGCTTGGCCGCTTTTGGTTTTTGTGGTTCCTGACCCAGTCCATGAGGTCCCCCAGTGATTTGATAGTGCGAAACTGTACGAATCATCGTGTTGAAAACGCAGCAATAGCGGGTGCTTGTACAACAAGGTAGGTGTTGCTGTGCGACAGCAGAGATCCTTCAATGGACAGTGCCTGTAGCTAGGCAGCTCGTGAGTCCAGTTGGCGTGAGTGGCCGGGGTCCTGAGATAACAAAAGGCTACAGGGCATTCAAGGATGCTTTTGCTGACAAAGACACACAGAAAAAAACAGCACAGATGTTACGTTGGGTTATTTTGGTGCATTTCCCTTGACCCAAGGTTCTTTTGGAACTGTGTAGAGCTGCACACTTTCTTCAGAGAAAAAGAACACTCACGTACAGAAAGAGGCCTCGGCATCAGAACCAATGGCCGTTTTTGATCATCCATGTTTGGTAGATATTTGGTAGCTAGTAGTAACAAGAAGCTACTAGGAACAAGTGCATCGCTACTAGTA